GGATTTTTTTTAAAAAGGGGGGGGGGGGGGGGGGCAGGGGATATATATATAGAGAGAGATGGAGAGAGAGAGAGAGAGAGAGAGAGAGAGAGAGAGACGGCAGGGGGCGATGATGCAGTGCTTTCTACACACAGCGACAGCGGCATACATGTGCGAAAAGCCGTTGCGGCTGCGACAACAACGACAAAAAAGAGTAACCAGACACCACCGCTGCTTGCTAGTCGGCGGACGGCAGCACCAGACGAACATGAAGGACGTCCCATCGTCACAGCTAGCTGTCAACACACGCATGATTGGATGATCGGAAACTAGGGATCGAGGGTCAGATGTTTCGAAAATTAAAGCAATTGGCGCGACAACCAAAGCAACAACAAAAAGGTGCGTACTTTCTTACAATGTAATCTCAATTTACGATATTTTTTCTATTTCGGGAGGGCGTAGTGCATACCACACACACAGGGGTATCGATAATTTAGTACCGTTAGGCGCGTCCGTTTCTTCGCTAAAGTTCATGGTGGCGTTTGCATTATGGCCTCGCGAACGACATGTGTTACAGTGGAACTTTCTTCCTACGTGCGTACTACGTTTGTGTTCATTGTGGTGTGAGCGTTTCGGCTTCATGTGCGCCAACGGAATCTCACTTTCTTGCTTTGCTTTGCACACACGATTGCTTGCACGATTACACTGCTAGACGAAACTGCAGTTACCATTGCTTGCACGATTGCACTGCTAGACGAAACTGCAGTTACGATTGCTTGCACGATTGCACTGCTAGACGAAACTGCAGTCATGGCCAGTACCTCCTCCATCTCGGCGTCGTGCTGGTACTTCGTGACGGCCACCTTCCTCCTCACGCCTCGCTCGTCCGTCTTCTCCTCCGTAACCTCGGTCATGTAGTAGTCGTCGATGCTCAGCACTCGCGGCTTCTGCCCGCCGGCCTCCTGTGTCGCGTGCCAATCAACAAGACAAGAGAGAGATGCCAAACAAACAAGACGCAAGTCGCAATGAGACAAGACAAGAAACGGCAAACACGTGTGCACCAATCAGTCGTCGGCACTGAACAAACGCCGAGGAAAATAACAATCCAACCCCGAAGCCTCATGCACAAACAACACCTCATGTAAATAGTATTTTCTCGCCCAAAAACAATGCGCAAACATCCCCCCCCCCCCCCCCCCCTGGAGAGACAAAAACGCCTCGTAAACAGGTATATAGACATTTTCCCCACGTTTTCGAGGTCTCTAAGCAGCCGCGCCACGTGCGACTTCCCGGACCCCGGGAGGCCCCGCAGAATCACGCAGATCTTCTCCGGCCGAAAGCGCCTCCCCGGGGACTCGAAAACGTTCTCCGCGAACACCGTCTGCCTCGGTCTCGGAAGAGCGGCCGCCGCCGCCGCCGCCGCAGAGTTTGGTGCGGGCACGCCGTGTGGGCCGCTCTTGTTGCCGGCCAACATCCTAGATGCCGGGCTGTTGGCGGGTATGTACATATCGGCCAGACGCGAGAGGTGCGGGGAAAAGGGGACGCCTTGGAAAGGGCACCAGCAGAGGCAGTGGTGAAAAAAGAGGGCTTCGTAGCACTTTTGTAGGAAGGAATACCGCGGGGCGAAGACTTTGCTTGCGCGCGCGAGTCCCTCGGAGGGTGAAGGTGGTAACGCACTCTTTGGTATGTCAAGCGGAGGCGGGGAACGGGGTGTCATTGAAAATTAAGAAGCCACGGAGGTCGCGGGGGCTATAGACACGTCCGCATAAAACATGTATGAACTGAGGAGTAGAGCGGGTGTTTGTCAAATACTTCAAAGTAAGAAGCCAAGCAAGATGCGCGGGCTACAGACAAATGCGGCATGAAATGTAATTCCCAAGCGTCTGGCGGGCGAAAAAAAAAGCAGAGCGACAACGCCACGCCAAGTGATATGGCACCAATCGTGACTAGACGGAGGGTTGTTTCACGTACTCTATTCCGTGCAGCGTGCCGTTCAGGTGAGTGTTGCAGTATCCGGTATGGGCCGCCTTAGCACGCCGGGCGAGGCCGGGAGCCAGGCGTAAGAGCGCGCCAACCATTCGTGTACGACCAAGGCCTGCTTGCCTTATCCATCTACACCGCCGTAATTTTCAGGGACGACTTGTCACAAGTCATGTCAAAGGCTCTGTAAGATACTCCGACAAGAGCACGCCAGAATGCTGTCATGTGTGGCAAACAACTACCCTGGGGTCCGCCCCCCCCCAAAACGCAACAACAAGAACACCCACCGGACGGACTACTGCTGCCTACAACGTCTGGCGCCGCACGCAGTTCCCGCCACCAACCACACAACACAAAAAAAAAACACGCGAACAAAAAAAAATACCTGTGCCTCGCGAGCACAGAAGTCGATCCTCCTCCCGCTTCTCCTCGCGCCCCCGCCTGCTGCGAGGGACCGCCTCCAACGCCAACTCCGGCAGCGGCCAGCCGCGCCATGAGGGAGTTCCGCAAGGCGGCGCTGGTCTGGCTCTCCCCCGTCGGAGGCGCCGCCGCCACTACGCCGCTCGCCGCCGCAGCCCCGCCCGGCGGCGACGGCAACGGCGGTTGCATGCTCGGCCTCGGGGATACCGGCAGCGCTGACGGGAGGCCCGGGCCCGGGTGCGGAGGGCGGCCCCCACCCATACCACCGCCGACGGTTTCTGCGGGGCCCCCGAATGAGGGAGGGGGCGCCCACCTGCTACCGTTGGCATTGTTGCCAGGGACCTGACCGTTCCAGCCCCCCGGGGGTTGTCGGTGCACCGCGTTCCCCGCAAAGCCCGGGGGGTTGTTTTGAGGGGAGTCCTGCTGCTGAGGGTACTGCTGCTGCTGTTGGCGGTAGGGATGGCCTCCTCCTGCCCCCATGAACTGCTGATGCTGTTGATTCTGAGGGGGTGGCGGGTGGTTTGGCGGGAGCGGTGGCGGCGGCTGCTCGTTGCCATTGCTGCTGCTGCTGCTGCCTTGCTCCGGCAACGGTGGCGGGGGAGGGGTGGGGTCGTGTTGTTGCAGGTGGTCCGGCATGGACTGCTGTGGCGGTGGGAGCGGGGGCTGAAGCTGTGGCGGGAGGGGTGGCGGGAGCGGTGGCGGGAGCGGCGGCGGGAGCGGAGGCGCATCTTGCTGATGACTACCAACGCCACCGCCGCCGTCCGCCGGGGGCAAGGGAGGCTGAGGAACACTGCTAGCCCCGTCCCACACCGGTCGCCCCCCTTCCGCTTGACCAATCTGCCGCTGCTGCTGCTGCTGCTGCTGCTGCTGCTGCTGCGAAACCGGCGCCCCCCCCTGCTGCTGCTGGAGCCGTCGCTGAAGCAGCAGCTGTCTCTGCTCCTGCTGCTGCTTCCTCTGGAGCTCCTGCAGCTGCTGCCGCTGTTGATCCGCGAGCCCCTGGCACTCCCGTCCGTGCTGCTCCTGCAGGCGCGGCAGGGCCGCCGCTGCCGCCGCCCCGCCCAGCGTGCCTCCCCCCGCCATCGCCACGTGCTGGCGCGCCTGCAAGAGCCCCGCCTCGTGCCTGGCCTTCTGCTGCCGCTGCCCGGCCTCGTGCTCCAGCCGCAGCGCCTGCATCTCCCCGTGGTGCTCTTCCCTCAGCCGATCCTGCTCCGTCGCCGAGGCCGTTGCTGCCGCTGCCGGCCCCAAGGAGTCGGGGTCGAGGGGGGGCGGCGGAGTAGGGGGGGCGCGGTTTCCGTTTCCCGGGGCCCCTCCTGACGGGGGCGCTCTTCCGTCACTGGGAGGTGCGTTCGGCGGCGTGGCTGGCGGTAACGGCGGCTGCAGGCCGGCGTTTTGGGGATGTTGTTGTTGTTGTTGTTGGGGTGGTGGTGGGGGTAGTGGCGGCGGCGGTTGAGGGTACGGGCTTTGGTACTGTTGCTGGTGCTGGTGCTGTTGTTGTTGTTGCCAGGGTTGCTGGAGGTGTTGCCGGTAAATAGCGGAGACGTCCGTCGTGTATTTAGTTTACATAGCAAGGGGAGACGCGGAAGAAAGAACGAGGGTGGGACATGAAAAGGAGTAATTTGGGGCAAGGTCAGTGCTCGCGCTTCGTAAGAGGCCGTGTTCGACCTGCAGCAATCGAACGTGCATACCGCAGGAGTAGGCGAGTGCAATACAACGGTAGACAGAACTACCTCCGCTCGGGCATAAAACAACCATGTGCCATTGGCTCCTAGTATGTGCAGCGCAGAGAGGAGCGCTGCAGCACAAGGGCGGCCATGAAGACGCCGACAACCAAGCAACACTCTGTAAAAAAAACCCGCAAGGATCCGATGCCCCTGGCAGGACCGCCGGTCAAGCGCGATGAAACCGGAACAAAAACTTTCGCGAAGAGTAAGCCTAGAACTTCAAGAAGGGCGGATGTGTCCGTCCTGTAGAGGAATGTCGACAAACACACGTAACCTCGGCACTCTTGCTGAAGAGCAAGTTGTTGGGTACCTGCTGTGTGGGCCATTGCTGTTGCTGCTGCTGCGGCGGCTGCCCACCCTGGTACATGCCGCTCCATGGTTGCACGTGCTGCTGCTGCTGCTGCTGCTGCTGCCGCTGCTGTTGTTCCCAGCCTTGCCCACCTTGTGGAGGCCCAGGCCCGCCTGGGTACCCCTGTTGCTGTTGCCCCCCCCACGACTGCATGCCGACGAGTGAAAGGACAACAAGATCCGAATCGGAGGGGGGTGTGTGTGAGGACAAGAGGGCGCCAACGGGACTCCAATAGTGTGGTTAAATACTTCCAAAGAACACATGGAGGATACAGACAAATTGGCTAGATGTGTGTCCCGACAACTGGGATAATGCAGACCGCATCCCAAGCGAATGCCAAAAAAAAAACGCGCGGATTGATGATCAGCGCACCGAAACGTTACAGCAGCAGTTACAGCCCCCATGCCCGAGGTGAGCCAACCGCCGCCGGGGTACCTGCTGCGCGGAGGGACAACTATTTTGAAACGACGGTTTTCCAACCGTGTACAAGACGTTGGCTCCCTCCCCGCCTTGGTAGGCACTTCTACGTGGGGGGGGTGGGATTAGGTCTAACGAAGTGCCCTCTGGGTCGCATCGCAAACACGTCCTCCAACGCGCTGCTGTTGGTTGGTGACGTTGTGATCTTGCGTACTGGATACCTTTGCAAAGTGCTACTACTGTAAGCTCTGTAAGATTGGACCCCCCCCCCCCCCCCCCCCCCCCCCCCCCCCCAAAAAA